CCCTCCCCAGTTCAAGGTCAGATGAAAAGCTCCCTAGCACATGGCCCATGTCTTGTATTATTTTGGTTTTACATTTACATCGTTTAATTAGACTGGAATTTATTTGGCCATAGAGAGAGAGAGGTGAGGCTCTCACCTTGAATTTTCTAAAAAGTTAATTCGTTGGCGCAATTTCATCAAATCATTAATTTTTTAACTTCCTGGAAATGCCTTCTCTATCAAACAAATGAACATGTACCTTTGAGTTTGTTTCTGAACTGAGCTCTCTAAATCGATGGACATCTGTCTACTCATGTTTCAATACCCCAATGGCTGCTACTGGCTGATGAAAATAAATCCACACCTAATGCCTGCCCATTAATAATATTCAAAGCCAAGAACTTTGGCTGCGAGGTCACATAGAACACGGGCCCATTCCCATTAGGACTTTGCATGCCCGGGCAGCCTTCCATGGGAGTAGTGCAGGGGTACGTCAGGGCCCTGATTGAACGCATTATGGTTGCCAGGCAGTCATATGACCGATGGTCCCAGCGGTTGGTGGGAAGCCTTGGCAATCATCGTTGAACGTTTGCAAAAGTCAAGGACAAACAACGTGGTCAGGGAACGTGCTAAGGAGAGGGTGAGCCTTCTTGTTGCCTGCAGCCTGCGGGCCATTGGGAGGTGGGGTTCCGTGCTCACTCACTGTCAGCCCCTGATACAGGCTTGGGCGGAGGAAGCCACCTCCGTGTGCGCAGAGGAAATGACTGGTGAAAAAGTCTTTGATTCTCAGTCTCACACTCAGTGCTGTGTCCACCCATCCAATGCACTGGGAAGCATGGACATCCTTGTAGAAATTGGAGGCAGAATTGGTGCTGTGTGAAGGGTCCCTATTTGCTTTCTGAATTAGAGACTCTGGACAAGTCTATAATCTCTCCAAACCTCCATTTCCTTTTTTTTTTTTAATTTAAAAAAAAATATATCTTTATTGATTTCAGAGAGGAAGGGAGAGGGAGCTAAAGATAGAAACATCTATATATATATAAAAGGCTAATATGCTAAATGTCCCTCTGACCATTCGACCAGTCGCTATGACGCACACTGACCACCAGGGGGCAGACGCTCCAACAGCCGGTTAGCTTGCTGTTGGGGTCTAGCCAATCGGGACTGGGGGAGACGGGCTGGACACGCCCTGGAGCCCTCCCGCAGTCCCTCTCCGGCCCCAATCATGCACCGGTGTGGTCCCTCGGGTTGGCCTGTGCCCTCTCACAATCCGGAACCCCTCAGGGGATATCAGAGAGCTGGTTTCGGCCCAATCCCCGAAGGCCAGGTGAGGGACCCCAACGGTGCACGAATCCGTGCACCAGGCCTCTAGTCAATGATAAGAGAGAATCATTGATTGACTACCTCCTGCACTCCCCACACTGGGGATGGAGCCTGCAACTTGAGTATGTGTCCTGACTGGGAATTGAACCCGTGACCTCCTTGTTTATAGGTTGATGCTCAGTCACTGAGCCATACCAGCAGGCATCTCTGCGCCTCCATTTCTTGTTCTATATCATGGACAAAACTGATCTTGTCCATCTGCATTTGGTCATGTCATTCCTCTGCTCAAAACCCTCCAATGACTTCTCCCCTTCTTTGGAGGAAAAGTCAAATCCTTGCCATCACCCATAAAGCCATACATGATCTCCTTCCCCCCGCCCACAGGCTAATCTCCTGCTTTCACCCTGAGTATCCTGCTCCGGCCAGACTTTCCTATTGGTAGCTCTTGTCTCAAGACGTTCACACTTGCTTTTCCCACAGCCCACACTGCCCTCCCATCCGGGTCCTGTGTGGCTGACACTGTTCCTTCCGGTCTCTGCACAAACGCCACCTCATCAGCAAGGTCATCCTAAAACAGCCAACCTTGAACTTATCACAACCTAAAGTGTATTTGTTTGTGCAGGCACATAGTAGGTGCTTATAAATACTTGTTGAATGAACGTGCGAATGAATGAGTGAGGCCTGGCTAGCGCAAGTTCCGGTGAGAGTAGTGTCTGTCCAATGAGCTCGCTCATTCTGGGTGGAGGGACTTCCCTGGCCCCCAGTCCTTGTGCCTCACACAGGAGGGGTTTGCTGTGTTCCCCAAGTCTCCAAGGGGCACAGAGGAAATGCAGAACTTGGCCCGAACCCTTGAGGTGCCTGCAGATCCTGGGGACAGGCCTGGCGGGGTGAGAAGGTTGAGGGTGTCGTGCTCCTGGTAGGTGTTCGGACACGAGTCTTGAAAAGGAGAGGGAGCTACTTCACAAGGGAGACCAAAAGCCAGGCAAGCTCCCGTCCTGAACTGACGCGTCTGCTGTCCTAGGTTTGCAGAGAATTCGTCTGGACTGATGTCCTCCGGGGAAGCAGTAATGGTGTCAGCAATTACTCCTTCAAGTCGAAACACTATCTTTATCGTAGGGCACTCAGGTGCTGGGAAGAGGGTGATGGCCCAGCCTAATGGTTTCTGGAGGCTTCACTGGGCCTGGGACAGGGATGGGGTGGGAGTGGGCGCCAGGCTGGCCTGCTCCCCACCCCCAGCCTCTGGAGGGACCCCAGCCTAGGCAGCTCACTTGCGACCCAAGAACAGCCTGAGCTGGGCCTGGGGAAGGAGAGCCACGCCGCCCAGGGCCCGTTTTATGCTTTTAGTTCTGAGAGAGCAGTCATGGGGGGAATTGCTCTGCGTTTGTGGAATCATAAATTTTTTAAAGTCTCTTGGCTCCACGTTTAAATTTAGTGCCTGAATAAAATGTTGGCTCGAGCGCCATATTCGATTATTAAAAATCCTACTCGGGCCTGGGAGACGAGTATTTACACTTCTGCCTGCTCATCGGAAGAGCCACTTCTCCAAATGGGGCTCACGTCCGAGTGCTGGGGCCCTGGGGAGAGGCCCCGAAACAGAGCCCCGCGTTAGTTAAACGAGGGGGTGGAGCCGACAGGCTTTCAAACCCTCTCTGGTTCTAATATTTGTAAGTACTCTGGGCTACACTTTCACCATATTTGTTTGTCTTTTTCCCCTTGATTATTATTATTTTTTAAACTATAATTTTATTGACTTCAGAGAAGAACTGAGAAGGAGAGAGAGAGAGAGAACCATCAGTGATGAGAGGGACTCATTGATCAGCTGCCTCCTGCACGCCTCACATTGGGGATTGAGCCCGCAACGCGGGCACGGGCCCTGACTGGGAATCGAACCATGACCTCCTGGTAGATAGGTCGACGATCAACCACTGAGCCACACCAGCTGGGCTTTCCTTGGTTTTTAAAGGAAGACATGATTATGTGTGTGTGTGTATAAATTAATAAGAGAGAGTTCTGGAAGGAAGCAGACCAAATTGGTAATAGTAGTTACCCTTTGAGAAGGAAGCAGGATGGAAGGGGAGTGGGGATTAAAGGAGACTTTACCCTATAGGTAATGCTTAATTTTTTTTTCTAGGAATGTATAGTCACATATCAATTCGTTCATTTTAAACTCCCAGACGATCACTGTAGCTAACACAGAAGCCATAGAAAAGGATAAACAAATACTAATCATATGTCTCCCACCCAGAGATGACACAATTCGTGTTTTTATTTTAGGAAAAGTTTCTCAATGACCAGGTGCACCCACGCAAGGTGTTCACATGAGAGTCATAAGGACATACTTTCAAAGACAGGCAGTTGCTGTGGTTTCATTGCCAAAAAGGCTGATAACCTCCCCCAAATAAAAACCCACAATAAAACACCCTGAGGAGTGAGATGCGAAAAGTGTCCATTTTGGCCCATTTAAAAACCATCTGCACATTTTGTCTTCGGAGGCTTATGGGTCATAAGCGTCCCGGGCACAATAAGTATTTACGCAAATGAGGGTGAGGGGAGACATCACTAGCCGAAAAACCAGAGGTGGGAGATGGGAAAGGGATAAAGGAAAGCATCTAATTTCTGTTTTAAAGAAAGTTTAGTAAAAAGACAGAGTTCTCCCCATGGTTCTATTAGATCCACAAAAACACCTGTAGTTCCGGTCCTGGCAAAATATTGTAGGTAGATTCCTTTTAAGCAAGGAACCTATAAACAGCTAATTGGTATTTTGGAAATTGTTTTTCCATGCATTTTAACTGGACTTGACCAACAACAACAAAACATGTTTGCATGTGCCCTAACCGGTTTGACTCAATGGATAGAGCGTCGGTGTGTGGACTCAAGGGTCCCAGGTTCGATTCCGGTCAAGGGCATGTACCTTGGTTGTGGGCACATCCCCAGTAGGGAGTGTGCAGGAGGCAGCTGATCGATGTTTCTCTCTCATCAATGTTTCTAACTCTCTATCTCTCTCCCTTCCTCTCTGTAAGAAATCAATAAAATATTAAAAAAAACCCCACATGTTTGCATGTGTGCACACACATGTGCAAATCAGGGTCTCGAGGAGCCCAGTTCTTTTAGAGGAGCCTCTCCCCGCTCCTACCCACCAGTGTATGTGGAAGTGGGTGTGGCTGTTGGGGCCAGACACTTACCGGCAATTTTGTTTTACGTTATGCATTGAATCCATCATTTTCATCATCTCCATAGCAACTCTACTCTTACACACCTACCTTCCCCGCTGGAAAAGCTGGCTCACAAATGACAAAGACCTGATTCGAACACCAACCTCTTCACCTTGAAACACGGAGTCCTCTGGCTGAGCGTTAGCAGGAATGTCAAGGGTACCTGGTTCAGCCTTCTCCCCAGTGACATCCCGTTAGGCGCTTTCTTCTTCTACGACCCCAGGGGAGGGGGGCTCCCTACCTCCTCACATCTGAGAGTCAGACACTTTTCCTCCTATTCAGTTAAACCGGGCTCTAAAACACCTTCCTCCAACGGCCTAGGCTTTGGGGTCTCCATGACAACGGGCTGTCACACCTCCCTGGAGTCCTCCTGTGTGTTTCCTGCAACGAGTCCTCGCACACCTGTTTCCAGGCCCCTTTCCTATGAGCTCGCCGGGCGACCCATGCCCATCCCCTTAGCTGGGCAGCCCGGAACCATGTCTGGGTTCATGGGTGTCTATCTCCGATCCAGATGGGCAAGGCAGAGATCCAGTGTGTGGGATGGATGGCATCCATCAGAACCGCTTGCACAATGAGTGACAGCAACTCAGCTCCCAGGGGCGACGTCAAAATCGGAAGTTGACGGCCCACGTCACCGGAGAAGCAGCGGTGGGTCTCGGGAATGGCTGCGTGGGTGGGCTCCCTCATGTCCTGGGGACGCAGCCTCTTCGTCTCCATCTCCCCACCGCGCCTCCTTATCTCTGTGGGCTCCCAGGTGGCAAGATGGGCACCCACCGGGCCAGACGTTGGCTTTCGCAGCTCTGCTCCTGGTGAAAGAGAGGGCGCTCGTCCTGACGGTTTGGACCAAAGTTCTGGGTCTGATTCTCTTGGGACCCTTGCCCGCCCTCGCGTGCGTAGCTGAGGCCACATGTTTCGTGGAGCTAAGACTGGCCACGTGTGAGTCAACCCTCGGCCCCTGGAGCTGGTGTCGGAGCCAGCTTCTCCCAGCGCAAAACAACCGAGAAAGGGGTTTGCCCGAGGAGAATGGGCGTCCCGTTACCGGCCCACGTGAGAAGAACCGGGGGCATGAACGTCAATTGCACCGACTGAAGACGTGTGTGGCTCCTGTTCGGGGCTCTCTGGTGGGGACAATGGAAAGGCTCTCAAAGAGTTAAGGAAGGGCCGAGGCGGGTTATCTGGGCAGGTCAGGAATGTCCTCTGTAGACGCAGAAACAGCCCACGTCTCCCCTGGGCGTTGGATAAAAGCGTTTCCTCACACGTCCCTAGTTTTAGCACCATCATTCACGGCTTTCGGGTTGTTGCCACGTTGTTCAGGAGCAAAGTTGATTTTTACACTTAAATTAGGTTGCTTAAAAATAAACACCCCACCACCAGCTACTCTTCTCCCCTCTCCCCCCCAACCCAGACCTTTTCCTCCCACTTTGTTCAAAGGCAACCTTCCTCATCTGGGACCCACCAGAACCTTGGGGTGGTGAGTGTGTATCTATGATGGGATAGGAGATAAAGAGTCCAAGTGGCAATCCCAGTGGTCCCTAAAAACTGTCACCACAAGAAGGTAGGTGGTGCCTTGATACGGAGTAAAACTATCTCATATGGTTAGGAAGGTGGACCCCTACTGCCCAGCATGGACAACAGTTTTTGGGGACAGGAGTGAATAGCAATGAGATTGTCTAGTCACCAGACACGCATGTCAGAGCCAGATGGACTTCCCACCAAACTCGTGTGCTTCCGGCGTTTTGATTAACACACTACAAGGCCACAAGCAAAGACAAGGGGGCAATATTTCAGTTACTACAACGACCAAATATTAGCATTGCAATGATCCAGAAATCCTCTCCAAAGTGTGTTCGGCGAAGACAAACACCCCCGTGGAAAAATAGGTAAAGGACTTCAGCAGGCAGGTCATCCATGAGTCAATACAGGTGGAAATTCAATCTTCATAGCTTCTTAGCCATCAAGGGGTTGGAAACAAGATGCAATATGTTTGACCTTTCTGCAAGGCACAGGGACTTAAAGGGATGCTACCCGGGGCTGGTGGGGATGTGGGCATGTTCCTCTTTCCTGTTCAGGAGGGTGTGGAGTGGTCCAGCTTTTTGGGGGGGCATTTTGGCAATTTCTGTCAGAAGCTTCAAAATCATGCATGTCTCGTGCCCTGGCAGGTCATCCTGCAGGAATTCACCTGAAGAAATGATCATAAATATGTATAAAGATTTATGTAGAGCAGCAGTTCTCAACCTGTGGGTCGCGACCCCTTTGGCGGTCAAACGACCCTTTCACAGGGGTCGCCTAAGACCATCCTGCGTATCAGATATTTACATGACGATTCATCACAGTAGCAACATGACAGTGATGAAGTAGCAACGGAAATAATGTTATGGTTGGGTCACAACATGAGGAGCTGTACTTAAAGGGCCAGAAGGTTGAGAACCACTGATAGAGGACTAATTACTGAAGCCTCATTTGCAATAGCAAAGAAGTTGACAGGCCTAACTTTCCAACAATAGGAGATAGGCTAAAAAAGCCATCAGAACCATATTTTGGAAGAATTCAATGGGTTGGGAAATGTTTACAATCTAGTTGAAATGAATAAGCAAATCATGAAATAGTGTGTAGATCATGTGTAATGCACACACGTATGTGTATATATATGTGTGTGTATATTTTATTCTATATATTGTATTACTTTACATTATATCCTTATATTTGCTTGGAAGAAAGACTGGGAAGGTAATCCCCAGAATATTAACTGTGGTAGGGATAATGGGTGATTTTTGTGAGTATATATATATATATATATATTTTAAATATATTTTATTGATTTTTTTTACAGAGAGGAAGGGAGAGAGACAGAGAGTCAGAAACATCGATGGGAGAGAAACATCGATCAGCTGCCTCCTGCACATCTCCCACTGGGGATATGCCCGCAACCCAGGCACATGCCCTTGACCGGAATCGAACCTGGGACCTTTCAGTCCGCAGGCTGACGCTCTTTCCACTGAGCCAAACCGGTTTCGGCTATATTTTTCTATCATTAAAAAAAACATGTTGATGATGGCTACTATTTATCGAGGACGTACCACATGCCAGGCATTGTGATAAACTCTTTTCATCGGTTGAGTTTTCACACACCCGCCTTGTGAGATAGATATACTTACACCCACTCTACAGATGAGGAAACTGAGGGGTGTCCCCACCAAAGCCCATGCCCCTCTTCTAGTCCATGCCCTGGAGACCCAGGAGCCCGGAGTCCCCTGCCCAAAGGGCCCCGAGGTGGGTGGACCTGGGGAGCAGGGTCAGTGAGGAAAGTGGGAGAGCGTCCTACCTGCGCCCAGGTCACCCTTCGCTAGTCAGCGCTCACCTGGCTTATTTCTGAGCCTTCTCCCTGCCCCTCTGTCTTTTAAAGGAGGAAGCAGAACGCACCGAAGGAGCACTGTGTGGAATGAGAGCCCTGACGTGGCTGCGTGACCTTGGGTAAGTCACTTCCCTCTCTGGGCCTCAGAGTTTCCTGCTGGGTCGAGACTTGCTGCTCTGATGCTCCGTGGTTTTACTCGCTGGAGGGTCTCTGCCTACCTCAGGGGGTTGCTGGGGCCCCGACTAAGCTAGTCCTCTTTCTTCTGGCCCCAAAGAAGCGTGTCTAAGCCCCAAACTTTGGAGCTCTCTAAGGCACCGAGGATGAAATCTGTTTGTTCGCGTGCTCATTCGTGCAACTAAGTCGTGTGCGCGCTTTCACGCGTGTGTTCTGTGCTGGGTGGGTGTCAGATGCCCCATGATTGACTGCTTGGGTTTTGGAAAGAAGTGCATTTTTTTATGTAGCTTCGTCAGCCGTGAGAGGAGAGAAAACAAAGACCATGAAGGCTTCGGTGGTGTGTCCTTTCTGAACCCTCCTGGCGAGTTTGGTTTCAGCATCAGTTCTGGTTGAATTTGCCATCGTCCATCAACCGGCTGAGCATAAGGGAGGCCCTGGGTAGCACACGGAGCCAGTTGGCATTCAAAGTCTATACGTTCATAGAGTCCTAAGCCATCATTCGGTTGGTGAGGTGGTGCGGTGGGTGTCCACGGTGTGTAAGTGCCAGGTGGGCAGAGAGAAGTCTGGAAGGAAGGGCCTCCGTGCAAGGGAAGGTTACATAAGCCTCAGGCTTAAAACCCTCCAAAGGGCCCTGGCTGGTTTGGCTCAGTGGATAGAGTGTCAGCCTTTGGACCAAAGGGTCCCAGGTTTGAGTCCAGTCAGGGGCACATGCCCAGGTTGCGGGCTTGATCCCCAGTGTGTGGGGTGTGTGGGAAGCAGCCAATCAATGATTCTCTCTCATCATGGATGTTTCTGTCTCTCTCTCCATCTCCCTTCCTCTCTGAAATCAATAAATATATATATATATATATATTTAAAAAAATACACAATAAAACCCCTCCAACGGTGGCCCCTGGAATTGACACCAGCATTCAAGCTCAGCATTCAAGCTGTTCACCTGGGACTCACAGATCCCACGTGACGAGGCCCAGCCCACCTCTCTGGTCTCACCCCCTTCTCCAGCATCCTTAGCTTCAACACTCTGGCCTTCTTTATGTTTTACTAGAGGGCTGGTGCACAAATTCGTGCACAGGTGGGGTCCGGCCGGCCTGCCCTGATGGGGGCCCATCAGGCGGGGCCGGCCAGGGGGAGGGGCCTGATTGGGGCCCGGATCAGGCTAGTTGGCTGCCGCAGTACATGTCATAGCCCCCTGTCATTCTGGTCGCTGGACTTTTATATATATAGATTTTATTATTTTTTAAAAATATATTTTTTTATTGATTTCATAGAGGAAGGGAGAGGGAGAGAGCAATAGAGACATCAGTGATGAGAGAGAACCATCAATTGGCTGCCTCCTGCAAGCCCCGCACTGGGGATCAAGCCTGCAACCAAGGCATGTGCCCTGACCAGGAATAGAGCCATGACCTCTTGGTTCATAGGTTGATGCTCAACCACTGAGCCACATCGGCTGGACCACTCCGGTCTTTTTTTAAACTGCAGTCTCATGCCCACCTGGGGCCTTTGCCATTGCTGTCCCTTGTGCCTGGGATGCTCTTCTCCTGGATTTTGGGGTAGACTGGCCCTTTCTGGGGTCAACATTCAGGTATCTACATTAAGTCAGGGGCCTGGTTCTCACTCACCACTGAGATTCCCTAGCACCTAAAACAATACTTGGTACATCACAAACCCTCCGTAAATGTTTGCTACATGAGTAATTCTTCCAGCTGACATCCCTGAGGTCTGCCTGGAGGAGGCTGTATGTGAGCTGGGCCCCAAACACTGAGCAGCTCACTTGGCTTCCCTTTCTCTGTCTTGCTTCACTTTTTTTTTTTTTTTTTTTAACATCTGGACACACACTCTTTCCCGGGATGGCCTCATCCATGTGTGTACTGGATTTCAGCTACTATCTTTGCTCAGGCCTCTCACCGCGGCACCGTTTTCCTGCCCCTCCCTTCCTCTCTCTCTGTCCATTCTGAGCTGGCCTATTTCTGGTGCTTAATTACAGCCCTGCTATGCAGACAATGATGCCATCATTCTCAACAGATGATTGTGCCTGCTCGCTCTTTTGTCCAGAGCAGAGAGACGGCAAGACTGCCCAGGTCATCGAAAAGAGAGCCGGGTGAGTTAGACAGCATTGCAGAGAGCGCCTGGAGTGGGCTGTCTGTCACCCCGCTCCCGGGCTCACCCAAAGGCACACACAGCTTCCGACCGGCCGGGGCAGGGTGTCTGATTATTCATTACAATTGTTAGACCCCGAACCCTTTTTTCTTTTTTTTTAATAGAAGCTTTTAAAACAGGTTT